GGCATCCGTCCCGCCACTTTACGTGACACTGAGCGTGCACACCAGACGGCATCCGTCCCGCCACTTTACGTGACACTGAGAGTGCACACCAGAAGGCATCTGTACAGCCACTTTACGTGACACTGAGAGTGCACACCAGAAGGCATCCGTCCCGCCACTTTACGTGACACTGAGTGTGCACACTAGAAGGCGTCCATCCTGCCACTATACGTGACACTGAGAGTGCACACCAGAAGGCATCAGTCCCACCACTTTACGTGACACTGAGCATGCACACCAGACAGCATCCGTCCCACCACTTTACGTGACACTGAGAGTGCACACCAGAAGGCATCCGTCCCACCACTTTACGTGACACTGAGCATGCACACCAGACGGCATCCGTGCCGCCACATTACATGACACTGGCCATGCACACCAGAAGGCATCCATCCTGCCACTTTACATGACACTGAGAATGCACACCTGACGGCATCCGTCCCGCCACTTTACTGACACTGGCCATGCACACCAGAAGGCATCCGTCCCGCCACTTTACGTGACACTGAGCGTGCACACCAGAAGGCGTCCATCCTGCCACTTTACGTGACACTGAGCATGCACACCAGAAGGCGTCCATCCCGCCACTTTATGTGACACTGAGAGTGCACACCAGACGGCATCCATCCTGCCACTATACGTGACACTGAGCACACCAGAAGGTGTCTGTGGTCTAGTTATGTCACTGCACATATTTGAAGGCCAGATTTTTTCTGTAAGTCATTATAGTACCTTTTAAGTTACATGGTACACCCCCAAAGCTGGCTAATCATAACTCTTAGCTCATGAGACACAAACGATTACTAATTATAAGTTTTCCCTTCTGTTGCTCCTTCTGTCAGATTTAACAGCCCCTGGAAATGTGACCTCCTCTGTGGGCTTTGCAGGGTGCTCACCCTGCTCTGACCAGGGACAAGGGCTATCTGTTCACTCTTACGATGTAGGGGACTAGAGTCATCAGGAGTGTGGGAAATCTTCTTGGTTATTTAGAATAATCCAAGAAAAAAGATTGAATCAGCCAGAGGGCTAAATAGTTATTAGCTGATTGTTACTCACTATTATGTTAAGGAGAAAAATAATGAACCTCTCAGGAACTGCTTCCCCACTGACTAATGACTTAGGTGTTTTGAGTCTTCATTGTCTCACCTTAAAGCACCTATGAATTCTTATTTTGGCAAAAAGAAGTGAGTATCCTCAGATCTAGGTCCAAGAAGTCACTTAAAGGGGGATTAAACCCAGCGTCCAGCAGTCTTGACCAATCACTCACCATGCCCAGGTTTCCTCATCCATGTCTGTAGGTGGCAGGGTTGGGGGGGGGAGCTCGGGGCACGGGGAGGAAATGCCTGCTCCTTGTACTTACTGGAACTTCAGCTGAAAAATCCCAACCGGGTCTCTTGGTGGACTCCACTGTCCCCAGGGAGCCTTGAGGGTGAGAAAAATGTCACACCTTTGTCTCCTCCTGTGCTCGCCTCCCAATTTTGCTTCCCTCAGGGTTTGTCACCAGCCTGGCAGCGAGGAAGGCTGCACCAAAGAAAGGCTGGAGGACAGAGCTTAGCTGGTCACCAGCCCCATCTCTCAGGGCAGACGCTCCCAAGGCAGGTGCAGCCCAAGCCCCAGGAGCTGCCCCAGCCCCTCCACTCACAGTGGCCCAGTGGTGGGGCTTAGATAGCCGCTCCTATGAGCACTTTCCCTAATTGGGGGTGAGGGGGATGAGAGGCAGCAGGATCATCTCTAGCTTCTCCTTCCTAAGTCTGCACACTTTAAACTGGCCTTTGAACCTCACTCCACAAACATAGATCTAGGGCTTCCTGGAGCAAAGATGTAATACATATATACAAATAAGATTTCCTAACATGGGCTCCACTATTTCCATGGCATAATGAATAACTTTTAACAATTCAATCCCAAAGAAGTAAACTTAAATGTTAACAGAAATATAATTTGCTTCTCACTCATATTAAAATCTTTTACTCCTGTCTAAACTTAAAATAACTACAGCAATTATTTTATAATCATAAGCCAAATATGTGTCTCTCATTAAATGCCAGTTCTGACTGTAAATCCTTTCATCCCCTCTTTTTCTCTTCCCGAAAAAGGGACTGGATTAAACATCTCTTAGGAGCAAAATGCATTTGCTTTGGATAAAAGGGAAATACATTATTCATGTTATTTGGGAACTTGTCATTTTATTCATGTCTCTTGTGGTATAAAATATTTACAAAAATTTTAGTTTTTTATAAGGTTTTGTAAAGTTTTTAATAATGATGCTTAAAAATGAAGTGATTGTCTCTGTGACACTAAACTGTACATTAAGAGACTTAACATTCTGTTAAGAATATTAAGGAAGCATATTTTCAAACTCATTTCTGCCCCTATTTTTGAAGACAAGGTAAATTCAGAGGACGAAGGTATTTTGAACTAACACATTGCACCAGCTGTCTCAGTCTATTGAAAAGAATCGGTGGGTCTGCGTCTCCTTTACT